TCCAGGGCTGGGGGCTTTTGTCCCTAGGAAGGACATACACTCTCATCTACCGGAGGGTCCTGGCAGAAGATGCAGGGGAGATCAAATTTGTAGCAGAAAACACAGAATCGCGAGCCCACCTCCGAGTGAAAGGTGAGTGGAGTGTGGAGAGGGGGGGACTGGGGTGTAGGGGTGTACGGGGTATGTGATAGCCCCGCCATCCCAGACCAGACCGCTTGCTGGGACTGGGACAGCAGTGGTCAGGAGGAGGAACGGGAGTGTCACATCTTTCACAGGAAGATGTGGTCCCAGAGGGAGGAGCAACCTGGGGGGTGTGAGGACTCAGGGTCTCAGTGAACTCTCCCTCCTTGGGTTGCAGCCATCACTGAGAGGAGGGTGTGCACTCCAGCAGGTGGCAATGTGGCCTGCCAGGGCAGGAGAGGTGGGAGGGTCTGAGGTTGTGGGTGGGGGTGAGTGCAGGATGAGGGCATTTGGGATGGGCCTTGGGCACTGGGACTGTGGTGTGTGGAGCTGGACATGCACATTCAGGGTACACATCAGGTGTGATGTGTGAGGCATGGTGGGGGGCAAGACCATGGTGCCAGTGGTCTGTGGTACACAGCTGGTCCTAGACCAGCCTGGATGGGGACAGTCTGGCCCCTGCTGCCTCAGGTGTAAGTGCACAGGCTGTTGGGGACAGCATCCAGTCCTTCAGCAGCCCTGCTGGGAGAGCCTGTTGCCAAAGTGCTCATGGTTGGGCCCTGAACCCACTGGCCACACACCGCAGAGTTGCCAGTGACCCTCCTCCGCCCACTGAGGGACAAGATTGCCATGGAGAAGCACCGCGGAGTGCTCGAATGCCAGGTGTCCAGGGCCAGTGCACAGGTGCGGTGGTTTAATGGTGGCAAGGAGCTGCAGCCTGGACCCAAGTATGAGATGGTCAGCGATGTCCTCTACCGCAAGCTGGTCATCAATGTCGTGTAGCCAGAGGACGAGGATTCTTACACATGCGATGCTGGCGATGTCAAGACCAGTGCCCAGTTCTTTGTAGAAGGTGTGTTCCAGGCCAGCGGCA